GGTGGAGGGGAGCGAGAGCACATCCGCCACCACGTTGGACTCCCCCTTCTTGTGCTGAAGTTCAAAGTCGAACTGGCCGAAGAACTCTAGCCAGCGAGTCATCTTCGCGGACTGGTTCGCGTGCGAAAGGAACCAACGACAGGCAGCATTGTCGGCGAACACGACGAAGTGAGACCCCAGCAAGTAACAACGCCAGCGACCCAAGCACTGCTTGATGGCGTACAGCTCCTGCTCGTGCGCAGGCCAACGCGTCTCGATATCCGACAGCTTGCGGCTGTACAATCCGATCGGGTGGTCGTACCCATCGACGATCTGACTGAGCACACCACCCACACAGTACTTGGACGCGTACGTGGTCACGCGGAAAGGCAGAGACATATCCGGCAGTCTCAACAGCGGGGCAGACACCAACGCCGCATTGATGGCATTAGAAATCACGCTCTTGAGCGGCCGACCACACCCACTTGACCTTGGCTTTCAACAAATCGGACAGCGGGAGGACAAGATCCGCATAACCACGGACGAAACGCCGATAATATCCGGCAAGGCCGAGAAAGCGTTGGAGATCCTTGGCGTTCTGAGGTTGTGGCCACGTGGACACAGCAGTAGTCTTGTCGGGATCCACTCGTACGCCGGCGCCACTAATGATGTGGTCAAGAAAGCGGATCTCCGATTGAGCAAAGTGACACTTACTGGGCCGAGCAAACAGCTTCTTTTCGCGGAGGACCTCGAATACCCGGCGCAGGTGCCCCAAATGCTCCGCGCGCGTGCGCGAGAAGACACAAATATCATCGAGATACACAACCACTCGTTTCGAAGATGCGTCTCATTAAACGAGACCACGTGCCTGGTATACCCGCAAGGCCCATTGGTGCTACACACCACTGATAGATCTCTGAGCCTGCTCGGAACGCCGTGTACTGCCTGGACTCGAACGCGAGTCGCATCTGATGATAACCCGATGCTAATTCAATCAACGTGAACACATGCGCACCCGCGAGTCGATCAAAAACCTCGTCGATCCTCGGGATCGGAATACGAGGAATGTCTGTCATGGAGTTGACATACCTGTAGTCGATAACCCATCGAACGGGTTTCGACGGATCACCACCGCAGATCCACTGGATCTCAGTCGGCATTTCACCCGTGACGGGGTCCTTCTTTGGTACGGCGAAGATGTTCGAGACCCACGCCGATGAACTCTTCTCGATCTAGTTCTTGTTGAGCAGCTTGTCGACGAACGAACGGAGGGCAGTTTGTTCAACGTGGGCGTGTCGAAGTGGCGGTCGAGATGACGGTTTTGCCCCTGGCTTGAGCACGACCGAATGCTCGATGTCCCGTTCGGGGGGAAGGCCATCAGGGAGCTCTTCGTGGAGATAATCCGAATATTCACGCACCGGGTATTCAATGTCGGCAACGGTTTTTACAGTGCCCTTGGTGTCAACCACATCGAGATGAAAAACTTCCGCGTACATCTCGGCCTTGAGATTCCGCCTAAACTCATTGAGTTCGACCCACTCCACTTCCAGGGCTGTTGGGGCCGAACTCACCGCCACCTCCGGAGTGCTGTCGCGCTCTTCCGCCTCGACCGAGCCGGAGCGGGACCTAGTCCTCCGACGACTGTGACGCCGACGCTTTCCCGAACGCGGCGACCCGACCTTCCCACGGACCCAGTCGATCCCTGGGTTCTCTTGGCGCAGCCAGGTCTGACCCAGGATCTTGTCAAATTGCTGCTGCAGTGGCCACTCCACGAGTTCAACCATGCACTCCTTGTCGGCCACCTCCAGTATGACATCGCAGTGGTGCGCGCGGGTCGTTGTCAGCTTGCCTTCAAAATCCCGTGCGCGCAGCTCTGTGAGGCTCGCGCCATCTGGAGCTCGGAGCAGACCGCGGCGCACGATGCAGTGCGTTGCACCAGAGTCAACCAACATTCGCATCATCTTGTCCTGTACCTTGGCGTTTACAAATAGCAGACCGTCGCCTTCAACCTGGATCTTGTCCAGGTCGATCTCCATGGCGCAGACAGAGGGACCAATCACCACGCGGGGTTCCGAGTCCTTCATGTCGAAAACCATGGGCTCGGCAGAATCAGAGGCACCTGGAGATTTCTGATCAGAGCGCTCAACGGATACTCCATTTACATCCGTTGAGCGAGCCCGTTTCCCTGGTTCTTTCGCGGACTGTTGGCGATGCGGTGCCCCGACTCACGACAGTAGAAGCAAAGGCCCTGACGGCGGCACGCCTCGAGGGACTGACGCGACGGGCGGGAGGAGAACTGCGCCACCTCGAGCACTTTGGATCCCGCCTGGGCAGCGACGTGCGACACATCCATCGACTCGGCGTCCGGCAGTCGAGCTGGGCGCGCGCGGCGCGGCAGCACCACCAAAGTGAGCGCGCTCGTACGCTTGCGCGGCAGCGATGGCGTCGCACAGAGTCTCACAGTTGAAATAGTTGACCTCGTTCTGTGTCTCAGGCTTGAGACCAGCGATAAAATGGTCGACCTGGTCGAGCTGAGACATCTGGCGGATCTGCATGATGATCTTGCGGAACCGGGCGACGTAATCTTCAATCGCACCGGACTGGCGGCATGCGCGCAGGGCCGCGCGCAGCCGCTGTTGCTGGTCCGACGGGACGAACTCCTTACCAAACATGCTCTCGAACTCCTCGAGGTCGCGGATGGGCAAGTTGTCGATCATTAAGCGATGAGTGAGGAACAACGCGGCGCCTCCGCGAATCCCCGAGCACATAATCGCGACCACGCGCGACTGGTTCTCGACGCGCGTGTAGTCGATGTTGCAGCCTCGCATGTACACCTTAGCCGCGAACACGTAACCATCAAAGTTCTCGCTGGGCTTGCCCCAGAAACGTCGGCATCGCAGCCCCGGGGATCTTGAACTTGCGCCCGTTCGCCTGGGTCTGACTCTGTTCCATGAGGATGGCTCGAAACTCCTGGCTCTGATTGGCGACCGTGTGACAGACGTCGCGCACTGATTGGGCGAGCCCTTCCAGCACCATGAAGACGGGGTTGTTCGCTTCTTCCATCTTGACCTTGTTGCCGTGACTCAGACCGACTCAGACCTGAGTACTGAGATGAGTTAACCGAACTGAGAACGGGCGATACTGGTAAGAACCGGTACCGCGGGAGAGACGAAGAGGCGTTGGACCAACAAGTGCTACCAATTGGAACAGGCGCACTGTACAAACGGAGACCAGAGACTCAGAGAGCAAATTGCAGAATGAATTGATCGAGCAGATCCTAGACATGCAGAGTCTGCTAGCACCAAGGAGAGTCACAGGAGCTCCTTGGGGACTGCGGTGAGCTCTCTGTGATCACAGAGCTGGACTGGAATGTAGGTGAACATGCAGATATACAGAAGCAGCAGGAAGCTGCGACGTGTGGCGCGGAGGTGCAGGCCGGGTACTGGGGGCACCGTGAGCCACGATCCGAGCCAAACGGATACAACACTGGAACCCAGCTGCCGCTGACACAGCACTCTGGGTCCGCGCATTACACGTGGTTGTCAGCGCTTTGGTGTCGATGGGAAAGGATTATCGGCCTGGTCAATACGCCAAGATATGAGCTCCGAGAAACCTATGGACCTATCACGTTCTGCGATTTCTGCAGCAGGAGACATTACTCAGTATGTTGACGGCTCGATTGGAGGTTGTTCTAATAGCGTGATGAAATGACTATTGTCTTAGTATGGTAATGCTCCAACACACGCCTGTCTCGTGATTATGTTCGTGACGAGGGAGTTTACGTTTAGACTTGGTCCTCAAAAGCTACTTCATCTCGCTAGATGTCTTGTTCAAAATCCCGACACTTCCGACCACACAAATCTCTTCTTCCTCAATAATCGAAATTAAAGTCGACATGTTCTTTAGCTCGATGTTCGCGATTTCGCATAGTTTGTTTAAATAAATATTATGCATTAGGTGGCTTGGCTGTATTCTATTAACAGCATGTGACGCGGGGAATAATATATTTGAATATTTGACCATGATCCATCTATTGATCAACTCATAAAAATTATATTAACCGCAGACACAATCAGCTATTTGACTATTTGACAGAATATCCGGCATTGGAGGACTGTAATATATCTACAGCATGGCACGCTAGATCATACGCATTAGATATACCTTCTTCGCTACAAGTACTGGATCGCGTTGCCACGCTAATTCCTTCACATAAATTAGAGCGCCTACCTTCTTCAGCGCCCAGAGTCTTAGGGTCGTATTGTACAATGGAACAATTGTGAACTGGATGCACAAACACCACTTTAGCGTGGACTTCCACGCTAGCAGCAATAGTAATCAACACGTCGCCCAACGCAACAGGGACAGTGTTTTGATCCACAAGCACAAAACCTTGTTCAGCATCCACGACGACTCCCATCCCGTGGTAACTCGAGCTCGAAATGCCATCAATCATGTAAGGAATATCAAACGATACCATCACCAGCGACAGTAACGTCTTCTTACCGAGTGCGTTGCCTCCAGGAAAGCTCAACGGTGCAGGAGCAAACGTCGGGTTTCCATTTGCTGTAGCCACAAGTGAGTTCTCTCCATTGGATGTTTCTAACGTATACGGCTTGGAATACCAAAGCCCGTCTTCGTCGTTACGAGTGCACATTTGCATTGGGAACTAAAGACGATCCATCATAATGAAGGCCGTGCAGACACGGTGGCGATCACGAATCATAAAGTACCTTAATACCGTTCGGAAGCCGTTCGGAAGCGAGGCCAAGACCCGTGCGAAGTCGTCTAATGTAGGAGGTGGGCTGTCCCGCTACGGATGTGATGATACAGGGCTGGGCTAGATACACCTTCATGAACATATGCCCTGCTTGAGCAAGATACACCCCACCCAAGGGTTGCGCGCTTGCTGGTAGGAAAGTGCATGTACAATTCCTCCTCCGATCTCCAAGTATCTGTCGGGCGTGATGGAATGTAAGTCCTGGATACTGATAGTGGCTGTGTACTGCTCGTCTCCGTGCTGGAACTGCGCCTCCACTGTCTCTCCAACATGAGCGTCCAGATACTCTTCAATGGTAAAAAAAAATGTTGCTCCGTATTTATGGAACTTTTGAAGTTGACTGTATTCGCCCGACCAATCCGTAATTTATTTGTCGTCATATATAAAAATACAATTTTATTGTATTTCGGAATCTCCCCCTCCCCACATTTTTTCATATCGGGGAGCTCGACTCCCATCAATGTAATCCGGCCCTGAACGCTGACGCAGTGAAGAATCCTCATTCAAGGAATCTCCTCGCGTTTCTGAGTCGGAATCCGAATCCCCTTGCGCGCTTTGAATTGCCTCCCCTATCAGTGCCGACAAGCGCCTGGGATCCGTTTTAACCTCGTGCAACTTGCTCTTAACCGCTTCACGAGCAGCCAGTTTCTCCTCATGCTGCTTGGCAAATCTCTCGAGATCTTCTGTTGGATTGGCCTGTACCGATAACTTATCTCCGACAGCATTAACCCAGCGTTTTCGCTCCAGACTCGAGCGAGCTCTGCACTTGACCTGTCGACCAGGAACGACGTGGATCGAGAACTCGTTCATGGTTCCATCATCTCCGTCGGTTATTGCAATGCCTAGCAGTTCGTACACTGCCACAGGAGTCGGAGCTTCACCAGACGAAACACCTTGACTTTGGTTCGCGTATACGAGCCAGTGAGAGCCCATGACAACGCAGTAGCGAGTTTTCCAGAGCTTTAACGGCTCCATCTTCACAGTTTTCTTTTTATTTGACTTCTGAGGATCTTTCAACTTTAGTAAATGGCGACGTGGCATCGCGTGACACAGTGTCTGTTCTTTCGTAGTTGCAGCTGTAATGGCAGATTTCCCCTTAGAAGCGTCCTCTGCGGTCTTTGCAATGAATTCCAAGTACACACCGCTGCTCGTTTCGGCTCGAAAGCCTGTACCTTTCAACCCAGAGCCACTTCGGCCCAGACTGGTAAAAACGGGATGCCATTTCTCCACTCCCACAAGTTCGTATTTTTCCATTGTCAAATCTGGAAAACGAGGTATACCTTCTTCATTAAGTTGACAATTTTCTGAAAAAAAACTGTCAAAGTGCTCCCTTCCAGCACCACACACCGTTCGCGCCAAATAGATCCCAAATTATGGTGGCGAACTCGAAGATATCCTTTCGTTTGCGTTGTACTGAAGCCAAACAGCAGAGGTTTCAAGTGGTACAACACGAACTTAGTTTTATCGTCGCAGAGCGATCTCTGAGTATTACAGGGCGACAGTTCATTCAAGAAGTAGCAGCTCATTTAGCCAGTATCGCTGCTTCAACAGAAGCAGGAAACAACAACACTGACGCTGATCTTTTGGAAATTGAGATTGAATGTATCGGATTACAGTTTGTAGTTCGTCAATACGACCTACAATATTGAATTTACTAAAATTAAGATTAGGATCATTACCAGAACGAGTGTATGTAACATATGTGATACCATGATCCCGAACCAAGTCAGACACATGCGCTAACTGCGTTTAGTTACCACAAATGGTATGAAGGTATAAAACAACAGCACGAACAGGACCGTCTGTGCGATTGATATCTACCATGATTTCAGGTGAATCTTTCATTGTAATGATTACATTACCCTTTTCTAGCTGTGCGGCTCGCTCCTCTTGCTTCTTTGTTCGAAATCGATATAAAATTATTTGGCCTAGTTTGGTTTGATACGGATTAAACCATTTGATAGGTTGCTTCAGGATTTTTAACCGAGTAGGCAGAGCTGAATATACTTTCAGGTATTCTGTTTCAAATAACATGGTATACTATATCATTATATTTCATCTTTGATATTATCAAAGATGAAATCAATTCTGATCATTAACCCATACGAATATAAAATATACAAGTTCCTATTACGACAATGTCGATGGTTTCGCTGCCTGTTAGTGTAGTTGCTCGCGCATAGGACCTCTTTGTTCTTTACTCTATGAAGGCTGCTTTTCAGATTGAAAAATATTCTGATGCTGGTGCGGTATTCACTCGTCTAACCGAGGCGGAAAGGGAGTGGTTGATGGGCAAGTATCAGAACAAACATCAAATACATTATCTCTGCTTTCAATATCTGTTCACAAAGAGCTCCTGTAGAGGTACAAAATTATAAGCCAATTTCATATCTATTGGAAGTACTTGCCGCCACAGTTAAGACTGAAGAAGAAGAGGAAAAGTCCAACGACGTAGATAATAAAAAAAGTCACCGAGTTGTAAAAAATTATATTCAAGTGGTGTTTTTTTTTTTTTTTTTGATATTTTCCATCTTGAAAAAAATGTAAACATGCAAAAATTGCGTCATGCTTATGCTTGACAGCATAGACACTCTTCCTCTTCTTCTCTCTCCATGTATTTCTTCGCTGTGTGTGACATTTTGATTCTGTAATAGTATGAACTTGTCTTGAGACCCATCTTCCATGCATACAGATGCACATTCGTTAGTAGTGATACATCCAGTGCCGATAGGTATCGGTTGCTGCTAGTCGACTGGCATACATAACAGTTGCGTTGAGCTTCCATCTTGATCAAGGAAATTAGCTTGTATTCGTAAACGGTCTTGTACACGTTGCGAATCTCTTCCGGGATCTCCTTGATCAACTGAACGGATCCATCGTGCTCAATGATTTTGTTACGAATTCGCTTTGTCCATAGTCCGAGTGCCTTTAGATCTCGCATGAGATACTTATTGACAACTTGAAAACGCCCAGATAAAGTACTTCGTGTAAAGATGTTGCTTTGCAAAGGCTCGACTCCTTCAATGGTACTACCCATCACAAAACTTGTTCCTGCTACTGGCATAAGCGCGACCAGTAACGAATTGCGTAGACCATGATTGATAATATCCTTCTTCAGAGTTGACCAGTCCCACATCGATGATGGTGTTACATTCCAAAGATCGTATTGTTACATACCAGAACTAGTCATCGATGTCGAAAATGTTTCGTACGAGCCGTGTGCCATCGCGAGTCGATTAGATGCAACAAGAGCCCCATTGTGATAAAGCTTACAAGCTCTCGTATAGCACTTCAACTGCTGTAAGTGCCTGCTACGTTGTCTCGCCGGGTTCTGGTTCGTTTTCGCTCTCAATCGAAAGTTCAACACCAGTTGGCCCCGTCAAACCTGCGCCGGTGCGTTTCCGATTTCGATGCTTTCGGTCCTCTGGGTGGCCGATACATCGGAATGCCATTAATGCAGCCAGAAAAATAGTCCTGCATCCGAAAAAATGTCCTACAACTACGTCCTACAAAATGTCCTGTAAACACTGAAAATGTCCTACAAAATGTCCTAAATTTAGGTGCATTCACCATTTTTAGGTGAGTTAATTATATAGAAGAGTACCAATACAGCAACAACAAAAAGTGACCAGCCGCGCTTCGCTTGGCTGGGCGC